AATATAAAAATTGTGCAAATGTTACAATTATTTTGAAAGGAGAGAAATTACATTATAATTTGAAAGTATTCGCTATTACATAATATTTCTATTTTGTGTAAGAACGTTTTCTTAGTGTAATTATATTTTTATAAGGGTAATCAGGGCCGTATTCAGGGGTCCTGATTATTTTCCGAATGAAATGAACCAGTTTTTTAGGTAAAGTGTTTTAAGTATTTATTGCGAAACAAATTAAATTATTTCAATAAACATACTCGTATGTAGATACTAGCGATTCACCCTCGCTTCGCTCGGGTTCGTCCCTAGGATGCTTTTGTCATACAAACTTTCATTCCCATTTACACCCCCTTAAGGGATAATGTCCGAGATAAAAAGTCCTAACCTAACCTACACTCGCAATACCGATTGTTATCTATACCTATAATAAAACTAACTATTAGTCAACACTTACAGCAACTTAGTCAGGCAAAAAGTACTGAACCGATTTTAACTAAATTTTGTGTTGTGATAACTTATTAGCCGTGTCAATATTTAGGATACCTTTTACTACAGGCATTTTTTTCATTCCTACGGGGAAATACAATAACAGGTTCTATCGAGTCGTCCTTTTTTTTATAAGAAATGGGCTTACTCTTGACCTTCATCTTAGCTAGTGCTTATGCAAAAGTGTATCGTGTTCGATTTATTATTCTTTTTTCTTTTTTTATAGGTAAAGGGGGGTTTGCGACTTTAAAAATTATTTAAAAAAAAGAACAATGTATTTCAGATTTTTTTTGCCCTAAGTAAGTGAATAGAAATATTAATTTTAAACATGAATTAATTCACCGGATAAAAAATGAAAAAACTAAATTTTAATAATTTAATTAATTTTCTTTTAATTTACTAACGTATTTCTTATCATTATAATAATTCAAAAATAATAAATCATTTTTAACCCCCGTAGCAAAGAGGGGAGTTATAAGTTTAACTTGTGTGTGTGTATAGTATGAGTATCTGTCTGTGGCATCGTAGCGCACAAACGGATGAACTGACTTTAATTTAGTTTTTTAATCCGGTCAAAATAGACATTTCAAATAACAAAAACTCCGACAGAGTTGAATTTTGGTAGAAACCAGTTAAAATAAAGTGCCAAAAGTCCCCTTCGATCCCATGTGTGCTCCCATACAACTCCCATAGATCTACCGAACCTTTACCGAAAACAAAATCGTAACCTACCCGTTACATTGCAATGATATGGTAACCTAATATGTATATATAATAATCTGCAAGGCATTCAATTCTCTACTAATATAGATAAATAGATATACTCTTTATTGATCCACCATATTAGAACAAACAAACACAACGAAAATAATACACAAAGATAATAAGATGTACAGCAGACTGCCTTATCGCTAAAAGCGATCTCTTCCCAGTAACCTTGAGATAAAGTGTGTGGATAAAACACTGTAGCTAATTCTATCGTGTTGAGACTGACCGAATTTTGCCTTAATGAAATGGGTTATTATGTAGGAGGTTTTTCGAAAACTCCCACATACCAAATTTCTGCGAAATCGTAAGAGCCGTTTCCGAGATCGCCGGTATATATAAATAAATATACAAGAAAGCTCGTTAAGAGGTAGGTATTAGATATCTCTGGTGTCATGGGCGGATTAAAGGTGAAATGTAAAATACCAAAAACTCAGCAACAGAATAAATTATATCACTCTCATATCTTGACCACTCAATATATTATCTAGTAAAATTGATTGTGTAAAATATTATTAATCTTATGGGTTTTTACCAAAAAGAGCTGTCATATCTTGTTCCCAGCCTGCTTAATAAACCAATCGTTTTTCTGCACATAATCATAATAAATCTGTACAGAGGTCAATTCTGTACATGAAATATATTTCCAAAATAACTATCAGGGGGTGATTAGGGATCGACTGATGCCAAAAATGCAATCAGTAAAATTTTTGTCTGTCTCTCTGTCTGTATAACCGTTATAGAAACAAAAACTACTCGACGGATTTTAACGAAACTTGGTACAATAATTTTTTATACTCCTGAGCTGGTTAAAGTATACTTTTCATCACGCTACAACCAATAGAAGCAGAGCAGTGAAGGGAAATGTTGGGAAAACGGGAGAAGTTACTCCATTTTTTAAGCTTCCGTCGCGTGTGCAACCTTAATGGTTAAAGCTACACAGAAATCATGTATGACGGAAATGTTCTCCTTAAAATTAAATAAAAAATATCCCACGACAGCATATGTCTATCTTTTATGGTTGACTCACAATAACACGTGTAACTCCCGATAGCTTAGCAGTTCGAAGCTTTCTGATTTATATTTGTCTACTCTTACGTTTATAATTGGTAAGGAGATAGTATGAGACCCTGGGAAGGATATGGGATACTTTTTATCGCGGAAATCATTCCTTAAAGGGGTGAAAACGGGGATGAAAGTATTTATGGGGTGATCCTAGGGACGAACCCGAGCGAAGCGAGGGTGAGTCGCTAGTATGTAATAAAATTCTAACTGAGCCGAATCTGTACATTAAATATTTTTTGGAAAATCTTATTAAAATAGACATTATTATCGATACAGAGGCGGAATCTAGTTTTTAGAAGTTTTGTCTGTCTGTCTGTTAGCGCATCACAGAAAAACCGCTGGAGGGATTTTGATGAAATTTGGTATGGTGATAACTGGTTATCCGGGTCAACATATAGGATTCTTTTTACCGCGGGAAAATATCTCATTCCTGAGAAAAAAGACAAAAACTGCATTGTAAGAGTATACTAATATGTAAAAGCTAAGAATTTGGTTTTTAGACATCGGAACGCGGGCGCATCCGCGGACAGTGCTAGTAAACCATAAAGTGATCATGATTGAAAGTGTACTGCTCTAACAACCATAACGCTTCGAATTAACGGTTATTTCCTTTTAAATTTTGTTTTCTGTTAGTGGTAGCGATTACGAATAAGCATTATAGGATCAAGCTGTGTTCCAACGCTAATACACTGTAGGTTTTTCTATTATAAACGATATTATTCAATTTCAATCATAGAAATAACTGATAAATTAAAAATATAATATTCACATTATATATTTTCATTCATAAACGAGTAAAACACGAACAGACTCAGATTTTTTGCAGCAATCACCTTCAATAAACGTAAAAGTAGATTTAACAAGTCCGGTGAGTATCCGTTAAAGCAAGTCAGCCGTCGGGGCGTCGTGGTTGAGTGCGTAAGTACCTCATACTCCCCACCGCAGCACCCCATTTAGATGGGAAAGATTCGGTTGGGGTCTAGTGGGGTTCCTAGCCGGTTTCATACTTCATGTTATGTAGATGATATAAGTAAATACATTTTTTAACGTTAAAAAGAGGGTCTTCTAATAAAGACATGATTTAAATACTAGTTATTGGTTATAATAGGTTTGAAGAGGAGATCGATCGTAGCCACATTGTAATATTGTTTCGTCCAGTCTACTCTACCCGTAATAACTTACGGAACCTAAATGTGAACAATAACAACAGGACTGGACTGGTTTCCACAAATTTTGTATGATAGGAAATTGTGTCTCAATCTGATCTTTGAAGACAAAACAAAAACAACCCGTTTTATGGAAACTGTCTAGATATATCGATCTATGCCAAGCGTTAATCGGAGATAGTCAAGTTCGAAGCTAATTATAAAAGCTAGGTACAAAGAAGTAAAAAGTACCTACTACTACAATTGGAACAAGAGGTGAAGTATAATACACGTTAACTTAAAAATCCATTATGATCTGGCGAATTACTTACATAAAAATTTTTTACAATGTCACCTGGACTCGGAACCGGTTTAAAAAAACGGTTAATTTCGGTAATGTAAGGGTTAATCCATTGCTTGCACATTAACCGGTTAATAAAAATGAACGGTTCAGTAAACTGAAATAATAATGGTTCTTACAGACAGGGAGACCGGTTAGATTTAGGTTTTGATACCGATATAAACCGATTAATTCATTCGTAAATAAGAAACACACATATAACTAAGTAATTCACCATTAGCAAAGATTCGCGAAGTGTAAACGCACAAAAACTCATTTTAACTAGTTAATTAAGTTCGTGGAACCTAAATTCGTCAAAAATCGTTTTCCTGTTTTTACCCGGTTAATGAACGTAACCGAAACCCTAAGCCGAAAAGCCTTTCGGTTCGGGGTCAACGACCAGAACCAGTTAAAAAATTTAACAGGTTCACGTTTCCGAGCGCTGAATGTGACTTCTACGGATATAATATCAAAAATATTTTCTAAAAATGTAATTTTCAATAAACATACCAATACTAACAATAGTACGATTTCGGCCGCGGTGGCTAATCTCACGGATACTAGCCATTTGCGCAGGCGATATTATAGTGCACAAGTATACGTGCAAAAACAAGTGCACTATGTATTCCTGTTACTCTCAAATTCTGATGGAACGACAATTCGATGTGAACGGTGGACCAATCGCTTTAAGTGCTCTCCGAGGCACTGTAGAGTAATTCACCACCAACTTCCCAACTCCGAGGTGTTACTGGGAATTTATTGGCACAAAAACCTATTAACTGTACTTGGCGGCCTTGGCCCAACTCGAAACTCAAACTAAGGACCTCCGAATCTGCAGGTGTACCCGCTAGCCACTAAGCCACCAAGGCAGTTACGATAAAACAAACCCAAAGTAAACATCTATATATTGAAAATTTATTTTACATGACTTAAAAAACATCTGGTATGTGGTGTAAATTTTTTTGATGTGTAATAACTTTACTCGTTACACATTAATAAAAACTTTTTGCTATGACATGATTACATAAAATTTTACTTCGGCCACGTGACCTACTTCTGACATACCCCCGTAACACTATATAAACTTCACGGGTTTCAAAAAAAAAAGAAGAAAAAAGCAGAGTAGGTACTCAAAAATATCACTTTATTACATTAAAAATATTATTATTACATTAACAGGTAATAGATAAATTATAATTTCATGATTTTAATTTTAAATTCTCCAAATAAAACGCTTCATAATCTTTGTAGGTTTTTCCATTGACTGTTCTGTTATCAGATATGTACCCTTTCATTTGATCTTCGGACCAAAATTTCAGATTTTCTTGACATAAATCTAGAGTTTTACTTATTTTTTGTAGTAAAATGGAATTTTCTGAGATTTTCTTTTTCAATTTATCCGCTATATTGCCTTCTTGTTCTACTTTCGATGTAATATCTGAAAAATAATATTATACTCAGTTACTATCAATCCAACTATCATAAATGCGAAAGAACTGTTTGTTTGTTGTTACTTTTTCACGACTCAACGGTTGAGCCGATTTAGATGAATTGTTTGAAATAATGGGAAGGACATAGGATAGTTCTTACCCCGAATATCATCCTTTAAGAGGGTGGAAATGGGGATGAAAGTTTGTATTGGGAAGCAAGGCAGGGACGAATCCTAGCGAAGCGAGGGCGAGTCGCTAGTAATATTATAATTTGTAAGTAATGGCTACGTCAAAATTCGGTTTATTAATTATAATAAAAAAATCGGACAAATGCGAGTATGACTCAGAAACCGAGGGATCCGTAGCATTGTACATTAAAATAAGTTATAAGCTTAATTTCAACTTGATCCCTAAAACGCATTCCTGAGAAACAGGGTCTTGACAGACAGGCAGACAGATAATCGGACGAACAACCATCCATTCCATTTTTCCTTTTGAAGTACGGAACCCTAAAACCGACCCGTTAATAAAAATAATCTATAACAAAAAAAATAAGTAGGTACAGTTATTGCAGTTATTGAATTAAAATACAAAGTTACAATTTCAAAGACTAGTTGGGTTATCATTAGCAAGGAATCCGAAACCGTAACCGAAACATTATTATAGCACTTAAAATAACCGAGACTGATAAGAAACTGATAAGATAATATTATTCTACTTACGTATTTACACAAACATTGATGTTTAATAACTTTTTATCTAAGTATTGTCAAAGAGATAAAGTGGCGAATCCAAAGTAGGCAATTTTAAGAAAAATTTAAATAAGTTGTTTTTCGTAACTATTTTTTCGTATTCGATCAAATGAAATCTGTACAGATAAATAAAATCGAAGTGTCTGTTTGTAATGTCAAAATAACAGATTTTTAAGGAATGCATAATATGAAAGTATATACGGTTCTTATAAGACAAAAGACAATCTGTTTCTTCCGGCTAATATCCAAAACGGCTTAACCGATTTTGACGGGACTTTCACCGGCAGATAGCTAATGTTTTAAGAAGTAACTTAGGCTACCTTAAATTTAGAAAAAGAATAAGGATTCCACCCAAAAAAATTAAAACTCATGAAATTGCGAATAATATCGGCGTACTTAGAGACTCACCCCAGCCAAGCGAGGGTAACCGCTAGTTGTCAATATATATAAAAAAATAAACAAATCAAAATATAGACATGTCGTTGACTCTTTTGACGATTTCTTTCAATTTTCTTTCGCATTTGACAAAGAATTTTGAATAGCATCATACTAGTTTAAGACTGTTAAAAAATTTATAAGAGTCTGAAAATGATAATAGCATTATTGTCCAAGAGCGCGTTGAATGATGCCAACGAACGCGGTTTTGGTACCATGGTTCGGGCAACAGTGCGACAATATGGGACAACGAAAAACTTTTTGAATTTCTACTTCTTTTGGCATGTTTAGAAAATAATATGAGAGTTGTGAGTAGTGTGAAATTTTTACAGCCAAAAAGCGACATGATGAAGTTAATTGCATTCCTTTTTGTGTGACAGTTGTGATAAACGGGATGAAATCTTTAGCTATTTTTGTTCTGTTACGCCAAACAAGTATAACTTCTTACGTGCATACATAAGTACACACACACGTTTTTTTTTTCGGGGGCTAAGGTTATAAGTTATTGGGGCATGAAAACCACACAGTATGTATTTGTAAACTTGACCTATTTGAAGTGCATTTTTTCGAAATATTTGACGTAGTCGTTAAATAAACTTTTATTTTGCCGCACGCGAATGTAATGAATGTAGAGTAAATTAATCAAATGTAAACAAATGAAATGAAGACGAGGACCACCTCTTTTAAAGATATGTCGAACTTAGAAATTGTGATTAAAATAAATAAAAATGACATTGGAGGGCAAACATCGTTTATAGGATGGCCGAATGTGGTATTTAGTTTTTTTTAACATCCGACTGCTGGGCATGGGCCTCCCTTCAATACGAGGGGGATGAGGTCATAGTCCACCACGCTGGCCAAGTGCGGGCGGACTTCACATGTCTTTCGAATACTTGCCAGGTTCTCTCAGACATGCAGGTTTCCTCACGATGTTTTCCTTCACCGTAAGACAAGTGGTAATCATGGTGGAAATGATTCGCACATGAAAGTATCAGAGGTGCGAGTCCCGGGTTTGAATCCGATTCACTCTTGAAGAAAAATTGTAAAGGTTTGTAGGCTCATTTATGTATTTTTTTGTTTAGAGTTTAATTTTATGACAGTGTTTAGGAAATTGTAAACAATTAGTTATAGCGCATAGAGCCGAGGAGCGGAGTCAGCATTCTCACGTTCGCAGGCATTTGCGTCATAGCGTGACTCTACACCTTTGTTTGTTCTATAGAAGTTTACTTTAATAATAAAAATTATATTTATATTCAATTCTAATTGTTACACCACGTAGCATTAGACATATTAATTAAAATTGTAATTTTAAATAAATACATTTAAGTAAATTTTAGTTTTTTTTGGGACTTCTGGCTGTATTGCTCTTAACAACTTTCTAAAATTCTTACGAACAGATGTTTATCAATATTTGTAAGTTTAAGTATTTTCTCTGAAGATAGTAAATAATTTTAAAATCACCGTTTGTTTGGAAATTATAGTTGGAATTTGCAGTACTTTGTAAGATAGTGTGAGTAGTATGCCCGAGGCCAATTAAGCTGGGGCGAGGGACGCAGGTAAAGACGAGAGTCGATGTAAAACAAGACCTCTGTTCATCAATATAGATCTTATACATCTACACTAATATTAAAGAGGAAAGATTTGTATTTTTGTATGTTTGTAACGCAAAAACTCAAAAATTACAAACCGATTTATACGAAATTTGGTAAGAAGATAGTTTGAGACCGTGGAAAAGACATAGGATTTTTTTTATTTGCATCACCTTGCTCTATGATTTCTTTTCCTGTACCATAACATTCCGATACTACAGTACTTACATACATAGCAAGGGACATTATCGAGGCTGAAAACAAAATTACTATTAGATACACGACGCAACATACCAATATCAACACCAGGTTTCTCTTGCACATGTATTGCTTTAACAATACTCATGAGTGCATCTTTTTCTTGCATCCTGCTCTTTAGTTCTTGCATTGTACGAGACAAACGAACTGACGGACACAGTAATGGCGGAATATCGTCATTCAACCAACTTAAGTTCAATTTGGAAGCCAGAAATTGTACTGTCTCGAAGATCCAAATTTTTTCACCACTGAAACAAAATTTTTTAATTAAGCATTGATATACAAAAACTTAAGATACACAATTAGCGTCTCAAAGGTGTTTCCAAAAAAGCGCTCATTTCGAAATTGTGTTGTACTTTTCGAATATGTTATTAAAAAACTTTCTTCTTACAAATTACCTGCTTATTACGTCTACACTAAAAATGGAAAAATAAAAACTTTTTAACAAAAAATATAAACCGACTTCCAGCTACTAAAATGTAAAAAAGGAGGTTTTCATTTAGAATACCTAATCAGATATTTTCGAAGTCGGTGCCAGCCTACAATATTTTATGATATGAATATCTAATAGGTAAATAGGTATTTTATGTATCGAAATATATTACATTTGCTTTGCATATATATATATATATATATATATATATATATATATATATATATATATATACATATATATATATATCGAGGTAGGAGTAGAGTACGAGGGGTAAATCGCTCGTAAATAAATAAAACTTAGAACCGCCTACCTATTACCTTTAGTTATGAAACCCTAAAAAAAATACAAACTACTTATTAAACATGCTATTTTTTTACGTAATAAACTTTTGTTTATTGCAATAAAATTATGTTATTATCAATATACTTAAAAAAAAAGAGAAAAAAAAACTTCTATAAACTATATGTGTATAAAAATATTTTAATTAATTCTTATACTTGTTTCTTTTCTACTTGAAAAAATGCTTACCTATCTAATACCAGCTTTCTATTTTTCTCCAAGTTGAATTTCTTCAAATAAATTTTCAATTCATCTATGAACCGGGGACTGGCATCTAAAAACATAGTATAAGCTATTCAATTTGCATCCACCTGAATTCAATTTCCGTTCCATCGTAAGATCCTCATCACCAATATCCAAGTTAAGCCACAGTCTACTAATCCATACAAGCGTCTAACGAACACCCCTTAATAAATAAACACACAAACAAACAAACAAATAAATATGTTAGAAAATTAACACACAGCACCATCTAGTTTCATGCTGAGCTATGTGGCTCTTGTTATGGATGCCAGATAGTTGATATACTACGCATATAGTAATAACATTTAATACATATATATTATAAATATAAACACCCATGACTGGAGTACAAACATTCGTGCTCATCACACAAATAAATGCCCGCAGCGGGACTCGAACCCGCGACCGCTTGAGCCAAGCGTGTCGTCATGCCGTTCACCTTGTCGTGGTGGGGGGGGGGCTCATTAGCATCCGGCAATCCAGCCGGGCGCGAAGCCAAAAAACGCACTGGGAGATGGCCCACTTCGGTGGACGGTGTGCCATGTGGGTTGCTCTTAGTACTTCTCTGGCAGAGTGGACCGTTGGAATATTTTAACTTCAAAAGCGATCGCCATGAAAATTGATATTATATTGGTCTAGTAGTTAGCATGTACATATGCAGATCATGAGATCTTAGGTTCGAGTTCTGAATCAGGCCAAAAATCCATAGGATATTGGCCTTTTGCAAAAAGACCTCATTATATAAAAATATACATACACAAAAAAATACATGCATGGTCATTAATTCATAAAGCAGACGTCATTTACAAATGAATTAATTTATCTAAATTATTATATGTACATATACTATGTTACCGTTAAAATGAAATCATAAAGAACTTACCAGACGCTTCAGTGAATGATGCTTCAGATACATCCAAATCGAGACTGAGGTTACCATTCATTTTGTTCTTCTCGCATTTTTCTATATAATACTGGCGTAATGTAGAAATAGATTCCTTGGGAAAGTCTAATTGTATACCTAAACAGAAGAAAGATAAAATATAAAGAAAACCACGAAATCTTTATATTTTTATTTGAGTATAAATTTTTTACTATTAATAATAATACTTTTTAAAAAAAATAAAACTATCTTTTTTTTATATATATATTCGAATCGTTTAGAATGCTTTATAGAAATCATGGAGAGTCTCTCCCGCTTGCAAATGCTGTAAAGCATTTTTTTTTAATTATACTAAATTTTAGATTTTTGGAGCTGGATATTTTTTTGCAATTATTTAACAATGTAAGCTATTGTATAAAAAACAAAAACTCGCATATCCCTATTCTACTATTTCGAAAAGACTTAAAAATGTGTACTTTGAATCTAGGTCTCAGGGTTTATAATTTACGATATAGTCTGGATATATGTATGTATTCAAATTGAACTAAATGGTTTTATTTTTCAAATTGGATAAAAAAATAAGATTCAAACAGTACAAAACCTTTTATTTGTTTACGCTGGGGAAACCCATCATGGGGACCCCGACTTACCGGCCGTCAACGGGCAGGGTACTGTGAGACTCCTACTCACTAAAACCCACAGCGGAACCCGTCGCCGCAGTGCAATGGAAACAGTACAAAGCCTACCTCTACATCTATCAATATCGTGAACATTAGAGTTGCTGTGAAAGGCACTGAACACAGCTACTAGGCATTCCTTTATATTATTTATTTTCCTCTCAGTCGTGGCTAGCACAGTGATTAATCTTTTTAAGTCATCTCGAGTGTTTTCCTGAAAAATATAAATTATAAAATAATTTAATCTAATTACTAATAAGTAGGTTTTTATCATATGCTAGTGTTCGCCCAGGAGACCAGGGTCGAAACAAAAAAAAAATGAAACCCATTGGAAAAGAAAGTGAATAACAAAAATGAAAGGAAAAATAATCTCCGGGCGATCTGAGGTCGGAAAGTGGGAGGGAGTGAGTTTTTAAGGGTAAAAAACGGTTTATCTCGATTTCCGAAACTATAAGTCCTAAAGAAAAAAGTTAAATGGCAAACTTGTAGGTAATAAAAAGATCTAAAACTCTTGTTTTTACACTTTTTTCACATAACCTCAAAATTTATGTGAAAATCTAAATAACTAAGTTTTTGTTTTTTATTTTCATCTTTTACGCGCTTAAACCAGTTACAAAGGGACTTTCACTGAGAGATAGAGGAGTTTGTACAGCTACATATAGGGTATGTTTTATTCAGAAAATATTTAGGGTTCGAGGTGCGAAAATCGGACTTTGAAAATAGAACCTTTCAAAGATTAGTCCAATTTACTATTTCACGAAAAACAGTGCAGTCACTTTTTTTAGTTTTTATCTATTAAATACGTACCTAGAGGCGCACCCGAACAAAGCGAGAGTAACTCGCTAGTATAGAACATAAAGAAACAATACTCACAATACATTTATCAATATTAGCAATCTTCTGCGGAGTAGCTTGGTTATCGTTGACATCGTCACCTTCTATATGAAACACACCGGACTTTGAAGTCAGCTCGTCGTACAGCGACTTCAGCGACTTCACCCTGGCTTCAGTGCGGGCTTTCTCGCAGCGCAGCACTAGGAGCTCGCACGATTCACCTGTTACGTATGTCTGAAAATGATAATTTTATTTAACTTCATGTGTAGGATTTAAAGCGATTTTAGTATTTAGTATAAATACATCATGAAGTTGCTGGATTTTTTGGAATTCAGTTATATAAATAAGATATATTAAGTAAGACAAAGAAATATTTAAGAAAGGTTTTCAGCTAATAAAATATATATTATAATAATAACAACTCTTCGCAATAATGTTCATCTAAGCAGAGACTCTTACTTACACTAAGCTCTTCAATGGCGGCCGCGAATCTATCCCGAGTTTGTTTAAGGTGGACCTTATTCTTCATAACTTCAAGGGCTATATTGCAATGTAGCGCAGCAGTATGCGCTAATACGGACTGTGGCGTGATTCTAAAACAAATATAATATATTTAGTAGTCACTATTTCCATTTTTTTTATATATTAATTATGTTGCATATGGCATAAAGTGTAACTTAATAAAAAAAAAAAGTATTACAACTGGGTTTATACTTTATATTATAAGGGTACATTTAATCTGAGAGACATTTTAAAACTACCAATAATGGCTGCAAATCCAAACATATTTTTTTCAACTGTCTATACATAGTCCACCTATTAAAAAAGTACACCGAATTGGAGCTCATTTGAACGTCTGAGCACGCTTTTTTTTTGTGAAAACAACTTAAAGCATTCCATTTAAAGTTCAATTTACATTGTTGTATATTTATTTCAACTAGAAAAACACAAGTTTTAAGAGAAGTTTTGTATAGGGTTGTGTATCTAATACTTTTGTGATCGATGATAGTTTATCAATTCCATACTAAGCGTCAATATATCATACAGTATATTTCTTTACCTGTGATCAACAATATCATTGCTTTGTTTCATATTGACCAGAGACAGTTGTGTGACGACGGCCGCGCGTTTTTCATACAAATGGGGCCATAACGCGTCACCGCGACACTTAACTAATGACATTATGTTCTCCTCTGAAACGTATTAAAGGTAATATTAATTTAAACAAATATTAACACCCTGGGAAAGACATAGGATAGTTTTTATCCCGGAAATCGTAACCTTAAAGAGGTGGAAAGAGGGATGAAAGTTTGTATGGGGAATCAATCAATTTTCTCAAGTAAAATCCATCATACCTATGTTATACACAATCTTTATAAATAAAAATGAATGGTTAAATGTGTTTCTAAGTGCAAAACTCGAGAACGGCTGGACCAATTCGGTTAATTTTTTTTTCATTTATTCGTTTAAGTCCGAGGAAGGTTTTTATGAAGATAAAAATTGGAAAAATTTCACGGAAAAACATTAAAAAAACCATATTTTCGTCTTTCCTTACTACTACTTTATAATAATTATGAACGCACCCTTAAAATTAATGTAAACTACATATTTTAATGTATCTGTAAATTGGACGCTTTCTCTATCTACGTTATACCTACAGTTTGACTTTGTTTGTTTGGCTCTTTTTCACGTGGAAACCGAGTGTTTGGAGTCATTTTTTGTGCGAAGATAGTTGGAGGGCCGGAGAATGACATAGGCAATTTACCGCGGGAGATTATCCTATTCCACGGAAAACATGTTATTTTTTATATGCTATTCCATACTAACCGTTAAAACGTACCTAGGAATGAACCCGAGCGAAGCGAGGGTGAGTTACTAGTAATACATATAAAAATCGATAGTAAAACATTACTACTCGCACTAATAAAAAACCCAAGCATATCAAAATACATATTAGAACGTCACAAAACTCTAGAACACCTCAATCAAACCAATAAAGTAAAGCTTTCTTGGGAAAAAGGTCACACCAATAACAAAGGCAACTCAATTTCCGACAACTTAGCCAAACAGGCAACAAAACAAAAAGTACGAGGCTCTACAGATGTAGGCCCTCGTACTATCATCATCATCATCTAAACTTTTTTTTTTGTCGCTGGGGAAACCCATCATGGAGACCCTGCCCGCCGTCATAACGGACAAGGTACTGTGAGACTCCTACTCACTAAAACCCACAGCGGAACCCGTCGCCGCAGTGCAATGGGGCGTTGCAGGATCGCTTGCGCACACACTACACCCCTGCGGACGGCCCGTACCACGCGGGCCAGCCTCGCCGAAATCGGGATGTCCTCGATTCACAGGGCATATCATCATCTAACCTAATCTAACCCCAAGCCCTTATAGTGAATATAAATCATGGTTACATGACCACACCAACAAAACAGTTAACACAATATGGAAGACAAATACTAACCGCCGTAAATCCAAAGAAGCCTTCCCCAAACCTAACAAACACATAACAACCAAACTAACACGCCTAGGTAGACCTAACCTAAAAACGGTGATGGTACTTATAACAGGACACTGCCATCTCAACAAACATCTATTCAATATAGGTCACACGGACAGCGCCCTGTGCAGAGCGTGTCTTCAAGAGGATTAAACACCAGCTCACATTCTAGAATAGAACTTGGCCCCAAGAGTTCGTTCCCGGAAATCTTCCAGGAAGCTACCTGCTAGACTATTAGGAAGTTCTGGAGTGGAAAGAATAATACACCAATTAGCACAAGCTCACGTACAACGGGCAAAAATGCGTAAGTATGGAAAACGCCGTGCAAGAAGAAGAAGAACCTATGTTATATTGCGATCATGTGAAAATCGCTTAACACCTCCAGATAAATTTCTAAGAAATTAATTAAATTTCTAAGAAATCTATTGTTAACTGACCCACCGGCGTGTCCGCGGTCGGAAATCTTTATTATAATTATTGCTTTTAATATACATTACATACCTTTTTCATTATTGGCAGGTTCACTTTCATGTGTGGATACAATAGAGGAACTCGCTATAGGATTTGATAATTGCATGGTCGGTTGACTTTTCTGTTGCATTGCAATAAGGTATTTGTCTAACTTGTTCTGAAATAAAATATTTTTATATTTTTTAAACATGTTAACTATTTTATTTAACATCCCTATTTGTCAAGGCACAACATAGTGTAGCATAATGGTAAAATTTAGAAAATCAATTGAATATTACCACTTGCTTTAAAGTGAAAAAAAAAACATTGTTAGAAAATCTAAATTAACTTTCAAAACAAGTGAAGTCCGCCAACCCGCACTTGGCCGCCGTGGTGGACTATGGCCTTTTTTTTTTATTGTTGGGAAATGCATTTACGCACGAGGTGTGGGACTCACCGGCGTAATAAAGCCAAGTACTACCCACTAAAACCCAACAAAACCTTCCCCCGTCTTAATGGGGCGTCGCAGGATCGCTTACGCATTCAACTACGACACCCCGACGGCAGGTCTGCCGAAACAAACCACCAAGGTCGTCTCTGCTATCAGAGAAGTACCAGGAGCAACCCACATGGTACACCGCCAATCGAAGAGGGCCACCTCCCACCGCCCACCGAAGTGGGCCACCTACCAGTGTGTTTCTTGGCACTACTGAGTCCCCCCACCACAACAAGGTGAACGCACGTTGGGGGGGGACTATATCCTGCCCAACAGTGACAAATTAAAAAGAAGGCTGATTAAGTTGAAATGATTTGTTACAATCAAAATTTGAAACTAACTTCAGGCTCTCAAACACTTGTTATAGCATTTTTCCTCTTGTATATCCTCTTGATCCATTTAGGCCACGGCCAATCTTATTTGAGACCGAGCTGACCGCTTCGTCAGTCTAGTGGCTAACATATAAGATGCAGATCATGAGGTCAAAGGTTTGAGTTTTAAATATTGCCAAAACTGTTTTGTCATGCAATAATAATTAGCAGTCGGGACTTGGAAAGATGGCGGAGTTTACACCCTGATCTGAGTTGTCATCCCAATGGAATATGAGAGTGCAGAATAGAAATGCACTTACGTCTATACATAATAATATGTGCACTAAACATATACTATCTCCTGTGGAGATGGCTTATCCGTGAGATTAGCGGTCATGGTCAAAATAGGTCAGGAGGATATTACTACATTAAATACTTACTGTAAATATCAAATATAATAATAAGATTAAATAAAACAAACAAACAAACCTGTATATCCTGATCACAATCAACATTACACAGTGAATCGGCAATCACTTTTGTTTCCTCCAAGTTAGCTTTCTTAGCCGTAAGTTCACTAGACACTTGTCTTAGGAACCAAATACGTCGTTGTAAATCATCCACACGACGCCGTGATGCGTTACGTTGAGTTACTGCAAAGGAAATTTTACATGTATGTGTATGTTTTTTCAGACCTTATAGTAGCCCATTGATAGTTTGCCTGCTTGAATCCAATCCAAGAGAAGCGCGCTCAAATCCAACTCATATTTCTATGATTTTATATTTAAGAGAATCTTACCAGTTTTCAAAAGATATGTTAAGTCAACCAACCCACATTTGACCAGTGTTGTGGAATATGGTTTATGGACCCTATTAATATAGATAACTCCACCATACATTCCTTCATCTTTAGTACATTAACAGTGGTATATTTTCAACTGCTTCTATTTTATTTCATTAGTAAATAGAAAATATGTACATGTAAATATGTGCACAAATATATTGGTATTGTGAACCCACCATTGCTTCACAGTGATGCTTGAGTCAAACTCATACTTTGCTACTTTTGTTCTTTTTTTCATGAATATCAATCATAATCCTATTAATATTATAAACGAGAAAGTTTGTAAGAATGTAATCCATACAGGATGTGTTTTTGTTACTTTTTCATGCAAAAACTACTGAATGAATTTTGATGTACAGAAAAACACATAAGACTACTTTTATCCTGGAAATTTTTGTTTTTCTACAGGCGAACCTGAGCGAAGCGAAGGTGAGCTGCTAGTTAACTATATTTTATTATTAGGCTTCTTACTACTAGGTGTTACATGTTTACTATAAAGATGAGTATATGGAAGTAATACTACACATATTGCAGATTAATATAATAGAGCAAAATTATAAAATTAAGATCAAACCTTTACAAGAGATTTTATCCCTTAGTTCCTTTAAATTTCTTTGTGCCTGTTCCACCCTGGTTTCAGCTTCACTTACTCTATCATTGAGATCCACATACTGCCTCCACAGCTGAACTTGCTCAGGCACTGTAATTTTTGCATTATTCTAAAACAATAGTTTTATAATTATTGGAAGAGGTAATAAATATATATCAAGACTTTATTTATTGAATTATAAAATTGAGATATTTTTTTATATAAATAAAGAAAATCATACATATACAACAAGCAATGTAAAAAAAAACACAATATTACAAATATACTTAACAAAAATAATAAATATGGTTTGTAACCTCATTGAATGCATTTTTCTCTTTGCATAAATTTACATCATCATAGAAAACTTGCAATCTTTTTTGTCGAATAACATCTTTTGCTTGAACATGTTCCATAAGACTGCGCCAAACCATATAGTACTGGCCTCTACACATTCTAAAAAAAAAACCAAATTACAATGAAATAAATACAAAACTCTACAATATATAAAGTAATTAATAAATTAATAATGTTAGCATACTGTTTCATTTTGTCAGTAGAAGGAACTTTTTCCACAGGACATCCCATTGCCAAGAGCCATTCAGCAAATTTTTGAGGAACTTCATCAGTACTTAACTTCTCAGCACTCATTTTAACGTAAAATATTAATTTGTTTTATCTTCACTTCACAAGAAAATATAAATTATGAAAGAATATTATTCATTGATTATTAAAATTAAAAACGGTCGAGTTGTTTCAAAATTCAAATTTCAAATGTTTATTGTATATTTGACATTTGTATGTCAATAGTCACTACCAAATTATACACAGATTAAAATAAAAACTGTAATAATGAGTAGAGTATAAAAATATAATATGTACTTATACATACAATACATAATAATTACTTATATGTACTTCCAAGAAAATTATTTTATAAAACCAATAGTTGAAAAATAAAATAGGATTTATGCTATGAAAAGTACAACACATTTACGGAAATAATTCTAACAAGAACTATCTACGAGTGTCACCAAAGAGAAAAAACAATATTCTCAAAACAAATGCTTATTAGTCTTTATTATTTAACCATATTAATTTTCGAATGATAGTCATCGATTTTAATATATATTGTCGTATTATTGTATTAAATATTGACATTAAAAATTTAATAATACGTGAAAATGTGCGTTGATTACAAAATAATTTCCATAAGTGTCCATGGTAATCATAGCTTTATATTTTTTGCTTATTGAAGTTTCATCCATCCATACAAAAAAGTGGTACTTAGTAAATACAAACAGTTATATAATTATAGGTTACCTATACGAAAAATATATTTAAAGCACTTTAATCTCATTGAATGGAAAATAATTATGCGCAGGCCCTGGGTAATTCATATTGACAATCATATGACAAGATCATTTTTCTTTGGTTTTGACTTTTGACTTTTGTAATTACTAATTTGTTGACTTTTGATTTGATTTAATTTACCTACTTTTTAAGTGATGTTGGGAAATCTAAAGGAATTTATTTCGGTAGTTCAAGATGGGTTAACTTCAAATAATAATTTGCGACAAACGTTACAAGAAGTTCAAAAAGTGAAAAATATATTTAAGGATAAACAAAAAATAACTAGCGAAAGTAAAGTTAACTATGGGGCTGGAAGTTCTTTATTGGAGAAATATCAAGAGCAATGGGCAGAATTACATGAAAATGCTGACAAAAATGCAAGAGCAGCTGAAAAAGTCGATAAATTAATTATCGAACTGCATGAAGTCACAAAAGCACGTTTACATAGTGCGACAGAACTTGCACTAAATTTGGCGCATTTACCGAACTTAACAGTTTCTGTTGCTCAGTGTATTGATAGTCTAAAGAATGTACAAACTTTATTGACTGATGTAGAGGACCAATTAGTTGATTTTGAAGACATAGTTGAAAGAAGTAATATGGAAAAATGGAAACTTGATCATCATTATCATCTCACATTGTACAAAGAAAAGAAAATGGGTAAGGTATATTTTTTTATTGATATTTAAAAGCGATAGATAACAATTAACTTCTTTTAGGGCTTACGAATTTACGAGTATCTAATGTCTACCTAACCCCAAAATGTCTGTATTGGTAGTCTTCTTATATAAGATACATTAACTACGTTTTGCTTGCATTTTATCAATAATCAAGGTAAACATATTAAAAATTCGGTTGGAATCAGTGTTTATTCAGAAGTAGGTATATCCAAAATTTGAAAATTAACAATTTTAAATTTCAGCTGGACTTGAAGAAATACGAAGTCAATTGGCAAAAGAAAACCTAGAGAAAAATAATGAGAGAGAAAGAAAACAATTTGCTGAATTACAGGCTAAAAGAGAAAATAGTGCCGTTGCATTTCAAAGTGACCTTGCTAAATATTTAGCTAGTGGAAATATACCATCAAGTAGGTTTACACTGAGTTAAAAAGCTGATTTTTCATACAATAACTGAAACATTAATCATAATTTTAATATTAAGTGAATATGAAGTTTATACATTAATTTTAATTTTTTGTATGAAGTTTATGCAATTCTTCTCATAAAATTTTTAAATATATTTTATCTCCTTGCAGCTCCATCACCTGCACCAAAAATAACCTTAGAACAGATACAATTAGATGATGACCGCAGCGACTTAGAAAAATTTCTTGAAAGTTGATGCTGGCAGCTAAGACTAAATTGTGGTGATATACAGAGAGCTTTTATTTTAAGATAGATACTATATTGTACTATAAAGTTATATTGAATAATGTTGAATAAGTTATTTTTACATATAAATATGTTTCAAAATACTTATATTGTTTCTTTGCTAAAATTGATTAAACTTTGAATATTTGCAATTGGATGTAGTTATGCAAATTGGACCCAACGACAAAAACTTACTTTTGAGAAAATAGAAGTTTTAGTAAAATTGGTATTTCAAAATGACAAGACCATAGCTTTTTATGAAATTTGTCTTAAATATTGGGTATCATCGACTTGTATTTAAGTGGATATGTATATGTAGGTGTCATTTATGACAGTAACTCAAAAAACGGGGTCTGGATCCGTTTTGCATAAGTATGTCCAATTAACAGATAAGATTAAACAATCAAAACCTTATTTATGAATATAAAGGATATTTTTGTAAAAATTTTATTTTGTAAAATTTTTGATGAAAATAATTTACAAAGACAAATGATACATTCATGTTATCAAGAAATAAAAATTTATTATAGCGCTAAACACCTATGTAATTTAAGTTTTGCAATTTTTTTCAACTGAAATTATTTTTCTTAGTAATATCAAAGTCAAAAATACAAAATATATATACAAAGGTTTTTATGACTAGTAAAACAGTACATTTCTATTTGCTATGCTCACATAGTCCGTTACACCATCATACCCAAATCTCACTGTCCTTCACCAAAAGTGATTATTATCAAAAACTTTTACAGCACTAATCAAAACTACACAAAACTCTCACACTTACTTTACTTATAAATTTTTATCTAATTAATAATTTGTGAAGTTATAATAAATAGCAAGATCTGTTTGATGTTTTCGATTATGATCTATTAAATCTGTCCATTTCTTACGACACGCAGGTATCCTCAAGGATCGTCACTAGTAAATTTTAAATTGTAGTGAAAAGTTTAAGTTTTGCGTAGTATTGGGTGTAAGTCTCCTCCACCATGTGCAGCCATTTTTAACTTCCCTGATAAATGAGTCTTAGCACAGGGTCCAACATCTTTTATGGAAACAGTTCCATCTAAATCTTCATCAGAAGAGAAATCTGAGACACACAGAGTCAAATGTCTCTTCTTTGGTAATGTCCATCGCATTGTTTTATGATTTTCTTTTAAATCCTTAGATTTATAATCAGTATCTGATGCAGGTCTTTTTGGTTTGTCTTTGCTACTTCTTATGTTTTTACTTGATCTATGCTCTTTTTTCTCCCCCCTTGGGGGGGTGTGGAAGTTTTTTCGATTAACACTACTATGTAAATGTTTTTTCGCATTTAAATCAGGAAAATTTTGGGAATATATTACGACACTATCTACAGATTTCTTTTTTTGAAATTTTTCTTCAATATCTATTTCTTTTACTTTATTCTCATTGTTCGATTTCTTCTCTGCCGAATTGCCACTGCTACAACTTGTATTACTATTGCTAGTGCTATATTGTTCAACTGCTTGCTTTTCAAGTTCTCGAAACTTCGTATCTATACTTTCATCTGAATCCTTATATTGTTCTAAAGCTTCCTTTTCGAGTTCTTCAAATTTATCGATACTAGGACGCAGTCTTGCAGTCATCTTTGGATTAAGTTTGATAAGACCAGGTGGTAATTTTTGCGAAAGTCTAATAACTGGAGTCAAATTAATAGGTGGGGCGCTCATACTCAGTACTGTGCTGTAAAGACGTTTGTTTCTTAAATCTTCCTTCGCTTCATTACTCGTTGATGGTAATTGGCCATCATCTATAATTTTTTCCTTTTGACTTGTCACTTCTGTATCAGAAATGGATGTCAGCTCTTCTTTTTTCCCACTAGATTCTTCTTTTTTCGTCTCTTCATCAGTTTGAAGTAACTTTTGTGTATTGCTAGTGTTTTGTTTGAAAGTATTATTGATTAGTGTATTATTTAATTTGTCTATTCGGGGTGATATATTTTTGCCGGGCCACCAAACACTATATCGTTTCTCAGGATACCTCATAGGTCGTGGTCCAGTGGGTGCGTATCGACTAACATTTGTTCCTCTGTAAGGTGGACATCTAGAGATATTTGCTCGCATTAAAGCTTGAACGCTAGAAGATAACCGTCCCATAGCACGTTGATAGTCTGTTAACTGTGGAGGACGTGGTGCGTCGAACTGAAACTAGAAATAATTTATATATTTTTACCCCAAACATAGATGAAAATACAAGGAAGCCAATGTTATTAATTATGTTAAAAAGGACTAATCAGATTTTTGGTGTATATAATTAGTGTTGGGATTCTGAAAATAAAACAAACTAAAATTTATGTTAAAAAGAAGTATTAAGCGAACGATTCAAAATTGCTTGTAATAAGTCTAACTGAATAAAGTTTATTTCATTTCATACGCATAAAGTATAAGTCTTAACAATTATGCAATATTGCCATAATACGTATTCACTGTTGTCTTTCTATAACTGTGTTATTGCTTTGTTCTGTTCTCTCTCGAATAATAAAAATTATAACAATTTTGAATTTTTCTTTTTTTTCACTTGGTTTTTTGTATTGGTCTTTGGTTTTACAATTAATTCTACCTATTCTAAAAGCAATGTAACATTCTATGCATAAAATATATTCGGTCGTACCATCACGATTATAGATAAACTGCTATTTGAATACATTTCGAAAAGGATATTTACAGACACGTTTATGTGTTCTTATTTAACGTTCTCTGTTTCTAATCTACTAAATATAGAAAAAAAATGTACCTTACGATTCGGATCACAATGAAGTTGTGCATCGTCTAAGCAATAATTTGGGGGTGGTGGGGCTAGGGTAGCTAATTTTCTTGGTTGTCTCCTTCTCGCTCTAATCTTTCTTGACACTGGGGGCGGGCTTGGAGCCCTAGGCCTTCTGTGCTTGGACTGGTTCCATATATTGCGAACACTGCGAATTTTCGCTTCTAGAGCAGCCTCTTCAGCTGTTTCAATCAGGCCCCAGCGCTCGCTAACTGCCGATCGGTGTCCGTTAATTGCTATGTTAAATATTTATTGCCTCGTAGGTCTAGAGGTTAGTTTATATAGCGCAGAGCGTAAGGTCCTAGATTCGAATCCCAGTCGGTTCAAAAAAGTAATGTAAAGGGTTTTTCTGTCAATAGATTTAGAGTACTGGTCCACCATAGTCACCATAGAGTTGGTCGATTCAACCGAAGAGAGCCAGCTCGTCTTAAGCTCACTACACTATCATAGCTGCTGCGTAATTGACTCGTTTTAAAGACACAAAATCAATATACTTTTTTCCATAAATATTGTCAATAGAAAAAAAAATAGTTTCAACTCTAAATTCTTTAATAATTTACTCATTGCACACCGTAATTATCATTTAAGGTTTTATCGATTATATTAGTTTGTAGATTTTATTACTATAAAGCTATCACCTTTAATACTAAAGGCTATTAGAAATATTTTGATTTAAAAATACGCTTAACAAATACAAATCTTACGCACAAATCGTCATCAGCAAGCATTCTGTACTGCCTGCGTCGACGAGGGACCAAGTTTCGATCAGAACTGTCCACTAATTTTCGAAACCAGTTCTCAACCTAAAATATTAACAAGTTTAAGTAACTAGTAGGTATATTATTAGTAAATTTTTCACAGATCGCTAAGTATTTTCCGCACATGACCGCATGCATGATTAAATGCGGTGGTATTAAATAGGTATGTGAACATAATTTCGTCCGGTATATAAAAGTCGAGTTTTTAACGCACATAACTACAGAAATAATAATTATTGATCAAAACATTACAAAACCTTTTGCATTTCACATATCAGTAATCATCATATAGGTAATAGATCGGTTACATTTTTTTTTTATAGTGTAACGAGTAAAGTGAAGTGAGGAGCGGGTGTTGGAGAGGAGGCGCTAGTGTAGCGGTGTGAAGTGTGAGGCGAGTAGAGGAGAGTAGATGGGGATTGCGTGGGGTATATAAATGTCTTGCTCGGGATTTAGATTGATTATTCTGCAGTGTTAAAGTGTTGTGAAATAATTACCAGTGTATAGATTTAAAAAGTTTATAAGTTATAATTGTAAAAAATCTGTGATTAATAAAGTGATTTGTGAGAAACTATTTTTATTTTTCCTGACTGCTTCACAGTCAGAATTGGGATATAAAGCCCACATTATGAAGCGAAGACAGCCAGGACAGTATGTAAAATCAAAGAAGACCCGATTAAATGACGCGAATGAAAATAATATTTCTAGAGAGGATGTACAATCGATGATTGACACAAAGGTAAATTCATTTCTTAATGAGGGTAATCGTGAAAATGGCGTGATCAAATTAATGAATACTGATAAATTAATACCGGATTTTGATCCTGAAAATCGAGATATGAATGTAAAAAGCTGGATACGAAAAATTGATCAACTCGGTGACATTTACAAGTGGACTGAACTAACCAAATCTTTTAATTTGCAATCAAAATTACAAGGCCAGGCACGTATTTGGTATAATCGCTTGGATTCATACGATCATAGCTGGGAAGAGTGGAAATCCATGTTAACAAAGGCTTTTCCACGATATCATGACTATGCTACACTTCTTGATGAACTTACTTCTAGAAAGAAATCATCAAATGAAACTATGACAAAGTATTACCAGGAAAAGTTAGCTATGTGTTTTAGATGTCAACTAAGTGATCAAGCCGCTGTTTCATGTATTATACGAGGCTTGCCTCTCGAACTGCAGGCTAATGCACAAGCTTATCAATGTAGCAACCCAGATGCATTATATGAAGGGTTTTTGTCCGCATTTGATAATTATCAGCCTACAACGCCCGTTCGAGTAAGCAGTGCAAAGACACGAGTAGAACCTAGTGCTAGCAAGGAAACTCTGGTAAGAAAACCTCCCATATGTTATCGCTGTAATGAGACGGGGCACGTGGCTCCTAATTGTTCACTACCCGATAAGCGTAAATGTTTTAGATGTGGTAAGATTGGACACGTCGCTAGTTCGTGTCTATCCCAAACAAAGCAAATTCAAATCTTGTCAAATTTAAATGAAGTTTATAAAAAAACGGCAAAAGTAAATAACACCTATGTTAAAGCATATATAGATACGGGCAGCGAGTTAAATGTAATGGCGGACACTGCAGCACGTGCTCTAAAGTTAAAAGTCTTGCCTACCAACGTACAATTAAAAGGCTTTGGAGGTATCGCTACGCCGGCTGTAGGACACGTAGAGTTTGATTTATACGTGGATAAAGTCAAAATTCACACTACAGCCGTTACAACTAATACTGATTTAGGAGATATCGTGTTACTTATTGGTCAGCCAGTTATTAATGATAATACTGTGTCATTGACAGTAACGCGGACAGGCGCTGAACTTTGTACGACAGAATATGGTAACGACATAAATTCTATTAATACCATTGAAGAAGCGAGTTCTTTTAAAGTACAGGTAGACGCAAATATAGAAGTTCCAGTCGGAGACAGTTTGGTGAAGGTGTTTGTGGAGGGCGCGCCACCAGGCGAGCTTTGCACGAAACCACGCCAACACAGCATCGGTGCAGAGCATTATGCAGTAGCCAGTACATTACTCAGAGGGGGCGTCGGATATCTACGTGTCTGCAACATTGGAGAGGTCCCTTTGAGATGGAAAAAGGGGGAAACTGTGACAAGGGCAGAGCTCTGTAACGTCTGTGGTGAGGTGAGTGCGAATTTATTATTTATGAGGGGAGATGAGATTACTGAGCGTTCTTCAATTCATATTGGAGGAGTGCCTTTGGACCAGATAAATGTTGGGAATATAAGTAAAACTGAAAAGACTAGGTTAATTGAATTATTAGACTCCCATTCGGATTGTTTTGCTTCTTCCCCACATGAGTTAGGCTGTACTAATTTAGGTGAAATGCACATTAAAACAACTACTGATAAACCTATTAATAGAAAGCCATATCGACTAGCTCATTCAGAAAGAAAGATAGTAGCTGATAAAATAGAGGAAATGTTAGAAAGCAACATAATTAGGGAATCAACTTCAGAATACGCTTCTCCAATATTATTAGTACGAAAAAAAAATGGTGATTTTAGATTATGCATAGACTACAGAGCACTTAATGCTATTACAGTTAAAGAGAGATTTCCACTGCCTCATATCGAGGACCAGCTTTCTAAATTGGCGAGGAAAACTGTTTTTACTAGTTTAGATTTATATGCAGGCTATCATAATATTAAAGTACATTCTGATTCCATAGATAAAACTGCGTTTATAACACCAGACGGGCATTACGAATATTTAAGAGTACCGTTTGGTCTGGCTAATGCTCCGTCTGTCTTTATGCGGGTAATTCAAAAATTAGTAAAATTAGTAGGTAGTGACGAATTAGTTGCATTTATGGATGACATTTTGCTATCTACCGCGAGTGTTAACGAAGGATTATGTTTGTTAGAAAATGTTCTTAGTAAGTTACGAAAAGTAAATTTAAAACTTAACATGAAAAAGTGTTCTTTTTTAAAATCTGAAATAACGTTTTTAGGCCATGAAATAAGTTCTGAAGGTATAAAACCAGGAAATCATAAAGTTGAAGCAGTGGCTAACTTTAAAACACCATGTAGTTTGCATGAGTTACGACAATTTTTAGGACTATGTAGTTATTTTCGTAAATTCGTTGCCCAATTTGCTACAATAGCTAAGCCTTTAACGAACTTAACAAAAAAAATTGTGAATGGGTTTGGGGCGAAGAACAAGTTAAGAGTTTTAATACACTTAAAAATAAACTCTGTTCACAACCGGTACTTGCGTTGTTTGATCCTTCACAAGCTTGTGAAATTCATACAGATGCGAGCAAGCAGGGATTAGCTGGTATCTTAATGCAAACTCAGCGTAACGGCCAATTAAAGCCCGTGTTTTATTTCAGCAGAGTAACTAGTCGTGAAGAATCGTTTTATCATAGCTATGAATTAGAAACCCTGGCAGTTGTTGAGTCTTTAAAGCGGTTCAGAATATATATATTAGGTAAAACTACTAAAATAGTGACAGACTGCTCAGCTGTTCGTTATACTTTAGAAAAGAAGGATTTAATTCCTCGGATAGCTCGATGGTGGTTATCAATACAAGAATATGATATTCAAATTGAACATCGTCCTGGGGATAGAATGAAGCACGTAGACGCTTTAAGTCGTAACCCAAACTTATTATCTAGTAGTCTTTGTGAAACTCAAAATACTACTAATTCTTTAAGCCAAAATGTTATTGTTAATATCATAGTATCTCTAATGACGATTGGTTTTTAACAGTTCAAATACAAGATCCAAGACTTAAAAATATTATAGACCAATTGACCAGTGAAAATGCTTGTAGTGATGTGAAAAATAATTATATAATAAAAAACAATAGGTTATATAGAAAAACTCTCAAAGGCGAGAAGTTAGTAGTTCCCTCGTCAGCCAGATGGCAAGTTATGCAGAAATTTCATGATCAAATTGGTCATGTAGGACTGAAACGTTGTGATGAGCTAATTAAATCTGATTATTGGTTTCCGAAAATGACACGTTTTATAAAAAAATACGTAAATTCATGCATTTCGTGTGCATATAGCAAAGGAGAATATGGAAAACCTTCTGGGGAACTACATCCTATACCAAAGCCTACTGTGCCTATGGACACGGTTCATATTGATCACTTAGGCCCTTTTAGTAAAACTAGAAAAGGTTATCAGTACATATTGGTTATTGTAGATGCATTTTCAAAATTTTTATTAGCAAGGCCAACTAGAACTATTAATTCTGTAGAGACTCTTGAGATTTTGAAGGATGTATTTAGTTTATTTGGGTACCCTAGGAGGATAGTGTCTGATAGGAATTTAGCATTTACTAGTAGAATATTTAAGCAATTTATACAGAGTCATCACATTCATCATACATTAAATGCAATAGCCTGCCCAAGGGCAAATGGACAGGTTGAGCGCTATAATCGCACCTTACTAAATGCCATGCGTACCCGTTGTATTGATCAAAATATGTGGACAGAATGTTTACCAGATGTAGTGTGGGGCATCAATAATACGTTAAATGAGTCCATAGGTTTCCATCCTTATGAATTAATGTTTAGTCATAGAAGTAGGCTGCTTCCAAATTTAGAAGGTAATTCTGAGAGTAAATCTGTTATTGAGAAGCGTAGAATAGCATCAGATCGCTTACAAAACAGGGCTGTAGCTATGAAAAGGGGATATGATAAACGTCATAAGGCAGAAAGAAAGTTCTCTAAAGGTGATTTAGTTTTGTGGAAACAATCTGCAACGGGTGGTGAGGCAAAAAGCGTAAATACAAAATTAAGGGATGTCTATTCAGGGCCATACATAGTAACAAAGGTTCTTAATAATGGCAGATATGAAATACGAAGTATCAAAGGAATGCGAGGATATAAAAAGTTTTCTGGTATAGTCCCTGCAGATTCACTACGATCTTATCGTAGCGTCCCAAGTTGTAGTGAAAGCAGTAGCGATGAGGAAATTGTTACTAGAGATGATTTAATTGACTTATTAGAGAGCTAATGCATTTTTTTTTGCACCAATTGCGGTGCAATTGTTACAGGATGGCCGACTGTAACGAGTAAAGTGAAGTGAGGAGCGGGTGTTGGAGAGGAGGCGCTAGTGTAGCGGTGTGAAGTGTGAGGCGAGTAGAGGAGAGTAGATGGGGATTGCGTGGGGTATATAAATGTCTTGCTCGGGATTTAGATTGATTATTCTGCAGTGTTAAAGTGTTGTGAAATAATTACCAGTGTATAGATTTAAAAAGTTTATAAGTTATAATTGTAAAAAATCTGTGATTAATAAAGTGATTTGTGAGAAACTATTTTTATTTTTCCTGACTGCTTCACAATAGTCTTTTAGTACATACCTCAGGTAACATCCAACATTCTGTAAGATCTGAGTTTTCGCAACCGCTACTGCTATAACGCGAGTTAGGTTTGTCATTTGTGCATGTGTAGCAGTTTTCTCTGAAATATATATTTCTTAAATTTCGGCAAGAGTAATGTCCTCCCGACCGATTTCGGCCATAGCGGATAATCTCATTGAGACTAACCAGATGCGCAGGAGATATTATAGTGTACAAGTGTACGCGCAGACACAATTGCACTCTCTATTCCTGTCACTCTCATACTTCGCTAAGAAGATTACTCTACGCGACCAGTGAGACTCTGACTCTGGGCTGTTATTGAGGCTTACTAAACTAAAAGACTCAATAAATAAACTTGGCCCGACCCGGGACTCAAACCCAGGACCTCCGGATATGCAGCCGTAGATGCTAGCCACTACACCACCAGATAAGTCGAGAAGGAATGATTGTTTGTATATAAGTTTGTTAGTACGTGGAAAAAGCTGTATGGACACTCTGCTCCCTTTAACGGAGGTTCAGAAGAAAATACGTGTTTTGAGAGTTTTATGATTGGCGCCGTAATCCAAATGTAGAGTTTTATAGAACTCTTCGAGATGCTTTAAACGCGTGTTTTATTTCATACAGGAATTATTGATCAATGCATAACTCAGGTTAGAATGTAAGGTAACCAGTAAAAAAAAATCAGAATCAGATCAGTGGTTTTGCAGGTAACCTCATCCCATCACATACAATTAAACTCATCTTGTTGCTTATTCATAATATTTTTATTGACATTAACATACAACACCATCTAGTTCCATGGTAAGCTACGAGGCTTATGTTTTGGATACCAGATAGTTGATACCCTACACATATACAACTTTAAATACATAATACATATATATTATAAATATAAACCCTCATGACTGGTGTACAAACATTCGTCTCATCACACAAATGAATGCCCCCAGCGGGACTGGAAGCCGCGACCGATAGCGCAGCAAGTAGGGTCACGACAAACTGATCCAGACGTGTCGCCAATAATAATAATATTTATTATTATTAGATATTTACCTAATTTATATAGATTTCTTTTGATATACTTGTTATAGATTACCTGATATCGTCATAGTAGAAGTTTCCGTAAAACTGAGCTAACCTAGACTCTGGAATAACGTCTTTTACGCTTCTTTTACTACAGCTGCCATTTTCTTGTATTGCAAGTAAACGTTGACCTAAAATGATGAAAAAATCTTTTACCAACTATGTTACCGAAATGATAAAACATACAGATATAGAAATTACAACCTGTTAAATCGTTATGATTATTTGTTCCGCACTGAGAATCTACGGTGTCTTGTAGGACTTCGTTTACTCGGCAATTCTGTGCCCAAAGGCGCTGCAAATTAATATTTCAAGTAAAAAAATCTGTTTAATAATCCTGTATGAAAAAAGATAACTATGTTGCATTCAACGTCTACATAAATTTAAAAAAAAAAAAACTAATAATCCTTTCATAATTCTGCGTTATACGATAAACTTTATATAAATATATATCGAAGCAACATTAATTTTCTCTATTATTTTCCATTATTTTATCATGACTTATACAGTGGGCGTTATATGGGAAGTGTTGATTCAAATGAAAGTCGATGCAATCACAGTTGTATTTCAAATTAACAATAATCACTTTGTACATAGTTAAACAGCACTTCACTACACAGCCATAATAATACCACTTCACTATTACCAAGTATAGACAATACGGAACGCAAGACAGTTCCTAGTGGAGCGGTCCTAAGCTTGGCTCGGCTCGAAGGCAAGTGTCCAGCCCTCTTAGCACCCCTCCCTTAGCTAGGCTCCGTCGTAGCACGAAGCTCGCCGAGTGTTGGCGATAATACCGAAGGTGCTGCCATCACTCAGGCGTCGTGCCGCGCTTCGTTTAGCGACCGTATTGATGACCGTCTCCGACATATAAAACTTTTTAAATTACTGTATTTATTTAAACGATACCTGATTTGCTACGATAAAATCATCAGGTGGTTCTGAAGCCCAAGTAAGATCCGCACACAGGGCTATATGTGCCCAAGCAGACGAGTAACGATCCACTTCGAAGTTCATTCAATGTGTCATCACACGCATGCAGTTAATTATTTTCAACATAAGAAACGAATTAATATAATAATCACTAAATTTTAAGAGATAAACTAATGGTAAAACAGTAAATAAAAATAACGACAATTGGATAGACATTTGGTTAAATCTACAAATACAAAATTTTCTTCTTTTTTGAAAGATACATGATTTACAATTTTTTTCTTTTAATTTGAATTGTTTTCGAATTGCCTCGTTGATATTAATGTCATCACGTTGGCTCTTTAATGTCATGACCACGATTCATAGTTCTTTTTTATTTGCTAGTACCTAGTTTTTTTCAATAATTAACCTATTCCTTTTTTTGGGAAGTACAAAGTTATAGATACATTGAATTAAGGAATATATATTTTTTTCGTAATTTTGTATATACCTTTAGCAAACTTTTCAAATATTGGCGGGAAAGTAATTTTTATTGCTGGTAACATTTGCATAATGATGGTATCCCTATTACCCGGCGCGCTCGGCCCCCGTCACGTCACTCTTCAGTCAGATTTGCGCAGGTGGTGGTTTCGGACGCGTTCGCGCATGCGTCGTTAGTTACCGGATAAATGAACACTGACAGATCCTTTATTTTATTTTCATTAAAATAAAAATTAGTAAATCGTCAGACAAACTTTAGTTTTTGTAACGAACATTGAAATATTATGTTTCATAAATCCATCTAACACTCAAATTTTTAAAGTGTTTTGATGAATAAAAAATCGATTTATAGCGACGTATCGTCTTTGTTGATTTTCATATTTTTTATTTTATATTGTTAATTTGGCGACAAGTGAAGGCATCCTAACTGTTAGTGCAGGTGGAACTGGTTTTTGAAACTGTAGAGTTTTTGTGGTTAATGTTTGTGTATGTGAATTCATAGTTCGCGATAGTCAAAGTGTGCTTCGTGACCAGTGATGCTGTGATCTGTAGAAACATCTTGGCGCGACTTCATCTTGCATGGTAAGTGGTTTACAGCTACTTTGTCCACAACACTTGTTCCTTGGTATTATGCAAGTACTGCGTAAGTACGTAACGGTCGCTCAAACGGCATTACTTTAGGGCAATTTGTGGACTAACGACTTTTAACGTAATCACACGGCTTAGATGCGTACAAAATGAATTATTAACTGTACGTCCTAATAAATACTAATCAATAAACATTTTAATTGTATGTCTAAATAGATAGATAAATAAATTAATCATTCGGAAAAAATATAAACCTTTTGAATCAGAATTTCTATGTCCTCGATCTGTCCCTCTGTCTGTCTGTTCTCTTTGAATCTTATGCACAACAGGTCAAGTTATTATATATAATTCAAAAAATCTGTCTTTGAGACACAACAAAGTGCGACTAAGGAAAGATATAAAGAGAGCATCTTTTTATTATACATTAGTAATTTAAAACATATTAAATCACATACATTTTCATACTGTGCGAAAACCTTATCGTTATTCATATTTGCACTTGGCCGATATTTCGTGAAACATTAATCTATGCTTTGTAGTACAATAATATAACAACAATAATTTGTCAAACATTTATATTATCTGATAATAATAATTTTCAAAATTGGGTCATTATGCTAATTACAAACAATAAATTACTAATATATGGTATAAGGTATCTAGGTATTTTGTTTACGTTGCATACTTATAGAAATGGCATCTGAAAATGCGATGCTTTATATTTTGCTATATCTTTGTACCTATATATAATATTGCTTACAGATATTTATTTTAGACATTATAATAATACCTAGTCTTATTATTTATATGCATTCTGCTTATTCTTGCTAACAAATTTCCTTATTTTGTGCTGCAAATAAACGTTAATCTTGTCGAGTTTTTTTATTTCTAACAGCTAAAACTTGCACCTCACATTCATTGTTAAACAATAAAACCTGTTCTTAATATAATGCTTGCTTGAGAAGCGGCTTTACTAGGGTTTCGTTCATTGATTTTAACTGGCTCAACGTAAAATATTACGTTAAATTAAAATTTCGTTTTACGTATTAAAATACGAAAAAAATACTACGCATCCCTAAAGTTATATGATAAAACTGAAAATTTGAAATATTATAACTTTCTAACGGTTATTCAATTTTTGTTTGATCATCTGCCTGCCATTTATATCATAAAAATGAAACCACGAGATAAGGCATTAAAATATGCATTGATAATTTCTTTAAAAAATCATATATCTACATAAGTGCATATATTATTTTCTACCACGCAAATGATATTTACACCAAGTGAAATAAACGTTACCAGACTAAAAAGCGCACCAGCAATAAAATAATCTAAATAAATAAACTTTATTGTATATATCTAATAGATAAGTAGATATCAATCACTGTTATTTATTTAGGTTTCAATGTACAACGTTAAATCAAGGAAAGCGATCTCGGTCAACAAATCACTAAGATGGAATCTATGAAGGGCTTCTTTATGTTCCTATCTACCTTTTATCTATTCAGACTTCCTAGCGATAATATTTAGAATTTAGCGATTTAGCGATATAATATTAAGTATGTAATCCATACTAATATTATAAAAGTGAAGGTGTGTTTGTTTGTCCTTCTTTTACGTCGAAACTGAGGGACGGATTGGCATAATTTTTGTGTAAAGATAGTTGGAGGGCTGGAAAGTGACTTTTTACCGCGGGAAAACAAGTTATAACACAATTCAAAAAAATATTTATAATCAGAATTACTTGAAACTTGGTATAAATTCTCTTCAATACAATTAAATAAATACATTAGCATTTTTCGAAATTTATCCCATAAGGTGGTAAAATAGGGGATGAAAGTTTGTATGGAACATACTTTTTTAGAGATGATTTTTTGTAGTTTTAGCGCGAACGAAGCTGCGGGTTCTGCTAGTATGTATATATTTTTAATATTTATGTAATATATATAAGATATCACTCAAGCAACATGTTACGCATAATAATGTTAAGTGATATCAAAGAAGACACATCAAGTAAGATTGTTTTCTTAGAAAACAATAGCCCATTGGTGGAAATATAACGACGTCAGAAGTCCAATGCAAGGTCGACTTTTGCCGTCCTTTACTAGTGACGTCTTACGGATTTCGCTTGCCCGAGTTTTCAATGCACCGGCCTTGGCCCTATTTTCTCAAATAGGTTGTCGCGTAAAGAACCTTTGGGTCATTTGTAAAAGAACAAAGAGTAGTTGAAAGAGATGTCTATACCTATACATATGTCTGAAATTAGGTGAAACTTTTTAGATAAGAGAACAGTATTTTTCGGAAGTGAGTTTTAATTATTTCTATAGACTAGAGTCTAGTACCGAATACCTATCACAGATCAATAAACTACATTATAACTAGGTGACAAATGAATTTGAAAGGTCACGAGACTCCCTCTGTATGAAAGGCTTTTGCGAACTTCATTGTATAACGGGTAATGCTTTTCAAAAGGGCAAAAACATTAACTAAGATCAATTCTATCAATTTAAAAGGTCCACTCCCAAAAGTACCTATTTGAAAAAGCCGTAAAGGTCCTCATAGTGCTGACCTACATTTAGGATACGTAGCAACTCCAACGGCCTTGACCTACTTCCTAGTCGACACCCTCGCCGGAAATTTGGGCTTAATATCTCTTATTTACGGATACTGCGCCTATTGGATGCCTAAAGCTTAGCAACGAAAGCCGTATTTTGGGTGATAATAAAAGTATTAAAAGGATTTTAATAGTCAGGAGCAATGGGTATATAGGTACTTAGATTTGCTACCGTGAGAAACGAAAATCTAAAAATACCCATAAAATGCCAAATACCATAGACGGAAGTGGCAATAGTCTTCAATTCTATTTAGAAATAATATATATTGGATTATTATTACTTGGGTATGTATAGTCACTAACTTTGATTTACCCTATCTAGTTTCAGGTAATTATTGAAACTGCCGTTAGGGTTTCCTTCGATTTGTTGTACAATGTGGCGTAGAATTTATTTTTGTCCATTACAGGCACTTCTTTGTTGGGCTGATGGGCAATCTCTTTAACAGTTCTGTAGCACCTTTAAATAAAGAAAAATAGCGCTCAACCAATTCTATACACGCGTATTATTTCAAAACTAGCGAATCACTTTCGCTTCGCTCGGGTTTGTCCCTAGCTTGATTTCCAATACAAACTTTCACCCCCTTAAGTGATGATTTGCGGAATAAAACGTATCCTATGTCCTTCCCAGGGTCTCAAACTATCTTCTTACCAAATTTCATCGAAATCGGTTCAGTAGATCCAGAGATTACCCGCTACAACGTCACAAACTCACAAACTTTTCCTCTTTATAATATTAGCATAGACTAGCATTGCCCGCGGCTCCGCCTGCGTTCAGATTAAAAAAAAACCAAATTCTTAGGTTTTACATATTAGTATACTCTTACATTGGAGTTTTTGAATCTTTTCTCAGAAATAACATATTTTTCCGCGCTAAAAAGTATCCTATATGTCGACCCGGATGATAACCAGCTATCACCATACCAAATTTCATCAAAACCCATTCAGTGGTTTTTCTGTGATGCGGTAACAGACAGACAGACAAACAGACAAAAATTTTAGAAACTAGATTCGTCTCTGTGTCGATAATTATGTATATTTCAATAAGATTTTCCTAAACATGTACAGATTCGACATAGTTACAATTTTATTATATGTATAGATAAGCTTAATACTGTGTACAGTACATACTAAACTTTTTGTAAAAGAAATGTATTACAAACCTACGGTGCAATGATTGGCGTTTTTTGTATACTTTCACCCGTGTCTGATATCTCTTGTTGCTTATTAAAAAACAAAGAGTCATTGACGAAAAAATAATTTGAAATATTATTTTTTTGTTATCGATATTTAACAAAACGTGCAATGAAATCACCGGTGAAAAGTTTAGGTGATTTGTTTTGCCATCTAAAAGAGATGTTTGATGCTTACATAGTACTAGCGACTCACCCTCGCTTCACTT